AACACAGTGGCAGCCACTGACCATCACAACATTGATTAACATGAAAAGTATTCACAGCTCGTTAAGGAAAAGAGCAAAATCACTGAATCCTCCAACCGCATTGGTGAAGGGACAGAAACAAAGCTCAATAGTGTAATCCCTGGCCCTTGTTTCCTGTCGTGTCTTCTCTCTCCCTCCCTGGCCTCCCCCTGCAGTTCCTGATACTAGTGTGTCTGATTCCAGGGGAGAACTCTGAGGCTGGTGCCCCCACCAGCTTAGGGGAGGTGAAAAGGCAGCTCCTTGAGGAAGTGGTGGGAAACTGCTCTTATGAGGTCAACAACCACTTGGACCACCTGTACAAACCACGGCCCATAGAGGAGATGGTCAGATCTGGGAAGGAGATGGTTGGTAAGAAGATGGAGTACAGTGATCTGAGCAGGAACTGTGAGCGCTTTGTCACGGATCTGAGATACGGCAAGGCCCGCAGCCGGCAGGTAAGGCCCTCTGTGGGGGGCTCCCTCTCCCTCCTGGAGGTCTGCCTGGGGTGGAGGTGACAGACCTCACTACCCAGAAGAAAAATTACCCTGAATGATGCACACATGGGCTCTGGGGTTCCACTGGCTGGGAGTCATATCTTAGAGAAAAACGTAGGTCTTCTACTAATCCACTCAGATTCTTTTGCAGGGCACTTCCTCCCTGGGCCTCAGTGTCGCCATATGAACAACTGGGTGCTGCCTCCTTCCCTATCCACCCAAATTAATATAAGCTCTCGCTCAGCTTTAACCCCTTCCTCCTTACCGTTTTAGCAACACAAGCTACTAAGGATTAAAACCCAGTGGCTCCCTGCTCTTTCTGCTGAACCACAGCACCTCCAGGGCTGGAGGACCAGTGATTGGGTTATCGGGGTCCCTAGATATAGAGGAACGACAGGAAGTAGAGCAGGTGGCAGATAGAAATTAAGGATTTCTTGCTCAGATGGGGATTTTGAGGTGACCCGTTAGACATCCAGGTAGAGTTGGTGAGTAGCAGTTGGACAAGTGAGTCTGCTGTTCGTGTCTGAGGTGGGGCTGGAGATAGAAGTTTCCAGGCTTCACTTGGGAACAGTACACAGAGCACAGTGATTCCTGAGGCCATGCCTTCCCATTGTCTCCCCTCAGCTCTGCCACAATCCACCCCATGCAGAGCTGGAGCCCAGGTAGAGCCCAGACCACAGAGCCATTCCCATTTTTACCCCCAGAGCTCTGGCCCCAGGAGCCCAGGCAGGAAGCCCCCTTCCCTACCCACCCCCATCAGGACCAATGGCCCCACCATGGAGGCTCACACAGGCACTGGAGTGGGTGGGACAGAAGTCTGGGGGTTGGTCAGAAAGACATGGGGTCACATAATCAACTACAGCATGGCCCTGAATGAAGTCATGGAGGAAAGATGAACAAAGAAGTGAATTCCAGAGAAGCTTCCAGGCTAAATGACCACTGTTGGATGTTGGCATGGAATGAGGGCAAAGGGAAGCTGGCCCCTGCTCTCAGATTGGGCGGCCTGGGGTGAGCGCTGCAGGAGGTTAGCTGAGGTCAGACACAAACAGGAAGATAAACTGAAAAATCTCAAATCAAAAAGCCATGGTGCCCTGGGCAGGGACACTGAGGAGCAGGGAGGAAGTGATAAGGCAGGAAGGGAGGGAGGAAAGGGGACCAGGAAGTGATGGCACATGACCCAGTGCAGCCACTGCCAGCTGAGTGTCCCTGGGCAAGTCCCTCTACCTCTCTGATCCTCAGTTTACCCAGCTGAACACGTGGGTGCTGCTTCCTTCCCCTGGGGTTGGGAGGGTGGCAGTTATGGGGGAAATGTGCCAGCAGAGCCTGCTGGGGGACTGTGAGCCCTGTCCCCAGGGCAGGAAGCTGGGCAACAACAGGAGGGCCTTCTCCAATGCTCAGGTGCCCTTAGGGTGCTGTCACCTGCTGTCTGTCACCTCAGCATCTTCAAGGGTCCGTGTACTGGGGCTGGGAGGGCAGAGTGTGAGGTGGTGGGTGTTGGGGCCATGCACAGCCAGGGCAAACACATGATGGAGACATGAGGGTCAGAGTGTGAGAGCAGAGAAGCTCAGACTCACCTGGACAATGTTGTGGGGAATGGGCCTAGGCCCCAGCCTCCGGGAAGGGGGTTTACATACAGGCTGTTGTATTCCCACCCTCCAGACACATACACAATCCACCTGCATATGCGTGTCTGCATCCTCCTGTATACATGTACATGCAATATACAACATGTCCATGCACAATATACACAAACACACCCATGCCTTGCACACAGATTCTGCCGTTGCAAATGGTAAGAGTTCCTTCTTTTTTTTTACAGCAGCATAGTATTCCATGTGTAGATGTTACCACAGTTTTTTAATCCACTCATCTGCTGATGGGCACTTAG